TATATATATATATGGATTTACATGAAAAGACATTGAACCCAATTCACGATGATCACCGCAGCCAGATGGTCCTAAAAATGCCAAACTGGTTATATTTCCCTTCAATTTTACAGAAACTGAGATGGGCTGCTACACATAATGACAACATAATGTTTTGTACCATTCTAGACACATTAATCATTTTATGCAAAGGTTGTCAAATCAGACCCTTTATTAAGGTGTAACATTAGGTAAAAAACATAGCTGAGTTAAAGTTATGGTGATTGACAAAATGAGTAAACTTTTAAGAAATAAAGACCTAACATTGAAAGAACACATTACCCCTTCACATGTCAGAGTTTTAAACTCTGTACGATGAGAAGGTACAGAGTTATACACATCTTAGTCCAATCATGTAAATGATGCTATGAGCACCCTTGTGTGTTTCTGTGTGTTGAGGATAACTTTCTACTGTCATGTCACACTTCAGCTCACTGTCTGTCAATTCAACTTATCTTACACAACAATGGCTATAATTAAAGTCAATTAACTGGGGTGGCCATCTTTAATTTAATTCCAAAAGTTGATCAGATTTAGATGGTTACCTTCTGAGAGTTTCATCAAAAATTTATCTAGGGGTTCATGAGATATTTTGATAACACAACAGAAAAACTTGAGCACAGATACAGTAAAAAAATGCATTTTTTTGTCCTGTTGTCTTTGGCAGTGAGCAATAAAGAAACTCAACGTCAGAGTTGCTGGCATTTGATGTTCAGGTTTTAAAACAAAAAATGATTTTAGTTATTTTGTAACCCATCACCAAGACTGCAAATCTAACAGAATAATCAAAATAAAACCAGCAGTGTGTAAATAATATGAATTTATGTACTTTGACATTCCTCCAAACAGGCCTCCCAAATGACTTTGTACCACCATGGTGACCAACCTGAATCTGCCTCCTCAGCAGAACGCAGACACTGAGCACAAGTCAGAGGTGAGTAAGCAGAGAAAGACTTTGTGCTGCTTTTTGGCTGAGTGTTTACCTTTTGAAAAACACCTTGGGGATCATCTCCCTCTTGGAATATCACAGATGAATACAATGCTTTCTAATTACATATGCAAAAGAAATACTTACTTTCGTTGTACTTGTACGTTAACTTAGATCATCTGTGTCTAACTGGGTTAGAGGTTGCCCGCTCCATCTGAGTCAGCGATGAGCGAGTCTCCCCAGCGTTTTCAGGTCATCTCCACCGAGCCGGCCACAACGCCACAGCAAATACAGGTAATCACTGAGCTTCAGAGAAGATCAGAGGATGTGAAAGTTGCTGATGGTTGTTGAGCTCTAGAGTAGACATCTCTTTATGGTCCGTTTACACGGAGATGGGTTTTCAGTGAAACCACAACTGTTTTTTGCGATCCAGCTGCTCGTTTACATATCACAGGTGGTCAGAGACTTTGACATGGGCACTTTATGAAACCAGGGCCCGTATTTATCAAACTTCTTAGAATTCCTCTTAAGAATGCTGCTAAGAGTGGCTTAAAGGGGACCTATTATGCAAAATTCACTTTTTAAAGGTTTTTTTTACTCAACTTTGGGTATGTACTTCTTAAAAAAAACAGTCCTAGGACCAAAAAAATGCACCCAGGGGCATATTTACTGCAAGTAAATGTATTTTTAATGTATATTAACGACAAATTTTATACTTCCGCCATTTTGTGATGTCACAAGCCGTACAACAACCCACCGGAACCTGCGTTCAGCCCATTACCTAGCAACCCCCGGGTGAGACTCCACCTCCTCAGTATAAAAAGCCATCACGGTTGTTGTTGTGCAATGCGCAGCTCTTTTCACAATAGGGCAATGGGTAGAGTGTTGGACCAGAGAGTGGGAAACCAGGGTTCGAGACCAGCACGGACGCAATTAAATTATTTATTTTCGTTCGTTATGAACACATTTTCTCATGTACCTCTATTGTTTACCTTATTAAAGCCTTGTTAAAACCTATTTGTTCGAGTTTCTGAGGTATTTTGACCGCTGCTGCTCCCTGCTCTGGTAACAGCATGCAGAGTGAGCGCAGACCAGAGGAGAGGAGGGGGAGGAAAAAAAAGAAGCTGGGACCACGACTCTGCCTCTGGGTCTCACTCAGGGTCTCATATGGTTGTCCAACGGAGCTTCTGCTATTATTAGCCATGCTAACGTAAACGCTGGCTTTGGAGGGCAGAGTTAATGTCAACAGATTTTTGGAGGGCGTTACCAACAGAGCTCATTAACATAAACAGCTGTTCTGAACGGAAGTCAGAGCAGGCAGAACTAGAAAATGGGAAGTTTTATTATCTGAGAATTATTTTGTGCATTAAATTGAATGAACATGGTCTACTCTGGACAGACCACAGACATACCATAAACATTTCTAGGACCCATAATTGGTCTCCTTTAAGTGTAAAAAAATTTGCACATGCACTCACCAGCTGATTATATTTAATATTTTCTCCAAAAGCCACACACAAATATCTGCCTTTTAGTCCAACATTTATGCACATCTTTCTTTCTTTCTTTCTTTCTTTCTTTCTTTCTTTCTTTCTTTCTTTCTTTCTTTCTTTCTTTCTTTCTTTCTTTCTTTCNTTCTTTCTTTCTTTCTTTCTTTCTTTCTTTTCTTTTCTTTTCTTTTCTTTTCTTTTCTTTTCTTTTCTTTTCTTTCTTATTAAACCTGTTTTCCACACCTTTATAACTGAGAACAACATTCAGGTGGGGAGGAGGACAGCTGTAATCTCTGTCTCTTCAGTCCATCTCAGACCCCTAGTGGCAGCTCTTAACCATTTAAGAGAAAAAAACATTTAAGAGTCCTCTGGAGCACTTCAGGAGTTCTAAGAGTGATTCTTAGACTTAAGAATTTTGATAACTGACACGTCTGAGATTAGGAGCAAATCTAAGAAATTTTCAGCACTTAAATCTAAAAATCCACTCTAAAAAGTTTGATAAATACAGGTCCAGGTCTCAGATTGGAAATTTTCGATAACACACCCTACGGAGGTGTGAAGTACACCTCAGGAGTGAAAGCATACATGTGTGCACAGCTGACACACAAGCGACTACAGCAAAAGTTTTTATCTAAACTTACATCAATTACAAAAAATTACAGACGGCAGAGTGTTTTTTTTTTTTGTGTTACTCACCCTTTGCAGCCTGAAGGAGCAAAACCAAAAAAAAAAAAAAAACATCCAAGTCTGAAGGAATGTTTATTCTGGCAACCCTGCCTTGCACGTTACTGCAGTGGTTCCACAAAAACAGGTGATTTGTGTGTGTGTGTGTGTGTGTGTGTGCGTGCGTGCGTGCGTGCGTGCGTGTGTGCGTGCGTGCATTTGCCCCAATAAACATTGGAAAAAAACCCACCAGAATTTCAAGGGACTGGTCTGTGTTAACAGGGTCTTAATTAGTGCAGCTCTGACATTTCCTTATTTTCTTTAATCACATTCACGCATGTTTTCTGTCTGCCTTCTCCACCTTTCCCACCTTCAGATTGTAACCGACCAGCAGACGGGTCAGAAGATCCAGATAGTGACAGCGATGAACCCGTCCAGTGCTCCGAAGCAGCAGTACATTCTGGCCACGGCTGACAGCTCAGGAGCAAGCAAGGTCATCCTGACCTCACCGGAGACTCACAACACGAAGCAGGTCATCTTCACAGCTGCAGACAACCTGATGCCAGGAAGAATACAGGTACATTTCTGGCATATCACCCCAAAATTGCTAATATTGGAAAGTCATCTGTAGAACTTCAGCTGTGTTTAAGTGGTTTCGGACCCATTATGTTGACACTAAAGTTGGAACAAGTGAAGTTGAAAGGCCTGCTTTTTCAGATTGTCACAGACCCATTGTCAATGGAACGGTTGTTAGGACAATCGGGGGATTTAAGTCGACCTCAACCAGTGGAGTACTGTGTAGTGTGTGGGGACAAAGCTTCAGGTAGCTTACATTACACCTATACCTCAACACGTGACCATGTACTATCCAAACAGTTTGTTCAGCTTCCTGCTGTTAGCACTCTCACCAACATGCTCACAGTGACTCACACGCTCTGACTGTGTCTGCATTCAGGGCGTCACTACGGAGCGGTCAGTTGTGAGGGGTGTAAGGGTTTTTTCAAACGGAGCGTGAGGAAGAATCTGACCTACAGCTGTCGCAGTAAGCAGGACTGCGTCATCAACAAACATCACCGCAACCGCTGCCAGTTCTGCCGGCTGAAGAAATGCCTTGAAATGGGGATGAAAACTGATTGTGAGTGTGTAATACTGGCTACATGTAACATATATTAAGTGTTGTCATAGAGTTTAGAGGTTTTACAAAAACTGATATGAATCATTTTAGTTTTTAGGCTTATGAGGTACAGAGAAATTGGCGTTACTCATCTATTTAGTGCGGCGTAAGGTAGGACTGGTAGTTTATTGACAATTTAGTTCACAAATATGTATTTCTTTCAATCGTGGTTTCAAAATATTTGGTTTAAATCAAAGCAGCATGACACTGAAGATAATTTGACTGTTTCTGTGTAATGTCCTCACAGTGTATTTTTTACTCTCACTACAGCATGCTTCCTTTTTTCTCTTATAAGAGACTGATATTTTGCTTACTATCTTTTTAGTTTATTATGTAAAGAGGCAGCCATTTTTCAGCGCTGTTGGCAATGCATCTGTAACTTTTCATCCACTACAGTTCACTAAAACTCATCAGTTGCTACTGGAAAAGTAGGTCTTATACACTATAACAGTTCAACCAATAACGCAAATGTCAATATTTGAAACTGTCTTTTATGATTTTTTGACTCCTCAAAAAAGTCAAAAGACTATAATTCTTTTCTGAAGCCACATTTAAAACTTTATTTAACTTTATTTAACAGTAACCATATTAAAATAGATTGTAAATGAAAGCATATGATGCAAGTCTCAATAGTAATGCAGCTCACTTTTAAATCATCTGATTCAGCATTGATTCTTGAAAAAAAAGTTGTTTGCAAACAGTTTTGCTTTAATATGTTTAATTTTTCTTCTTGGGTATTATTAATTAACATATTTTATATAAATTAAAGTTTGTGATTAACTATAACTGCAGACGACATTTATATAGTGTAAAGGCAAATTCTGAAAGTGTACTAAGCACATTTTTGTGTCATGAAATTTAACATCATTGCCAAGGAGAGTCGTTCGCTGGGATATTATCTGAAGCTATAATAATAATATAGTAAATCACCGCAGATTTTTGTTGTGTATCCATTTATCTTATGAAGGGTTTAGTTTATGTAACTCTGAATATTTGTAATTACAGTATATAGTGGTGCCATGTTCATTTAGCAGTCTGCGTCATGGTGAATTCTGCTTATAGTGAACACTGTGTTGTGAATAGACTATTTAACAGTCCAAACGCAGCTAAAGTTGTTGTCTTTCTTACAGTTTCTCCTCAATGCTGTCAGTAAATCAACTTTATCCAAATCATTTATTACAAATGCAACATTAAGTTAGTGCAGTGATGCAGTTTTCTTTTTCACTCCTGAAGAGCAGCTGCAGGCTGATTGCAGCTGTAAGCTGCACAGGTGACTTTATTATAGTGAATTTACATGTAAAGAGATGAAACATAAAGCCATATTAAGATTTTCCCATGTAAAATTTATATTTTAAGATCTGACTGTGAATCTACACAAAATCTACATTGATTTGAAAAAAATACAGCACAGGTTGAACATTAAAAATCTGTAATATCCATCACTTTGTATGTCAGTTTCTGAGGCTTCATAATGCAATCAGGTACATCCTGTTTTATGAAGAATGCAGGTTGTAACTAACTGGTCATAATTGTTGCTTAAATTAGTAGAATGTCTTTCATAATTATCATGTTCTAATCATCAGGACAGTGTAACAACAGTCTGCATTCTGTATTTGTTTAGCCGTTCAGAGTGAGAGGAAGCCTATCGACATAATGCCTAGAGAGAGGCATTCTAACTGTGCTGCCTCCACTCAGAAGATCTATATCCGTAAGGACCTGAACAGCCCACTTATCGCCACACCAACCTTTATCTCTGATACAGATACTGAAGGCTCCAGGTCAGTGGAAATCAGAGCTACAGACAAACATTAGGCCTGATCTCTGTCAGCTGCTTTACTGTAACGATTGTAATGATGATGTATATTTTATGAGCTGGTGTAGATAAGGCTCTGTGTTGTGCAGATCCAGTCTGCTGGACCAAGGGATGCTTGTTAATATCCAGCAGCCTGTCATCCAGACTGATGGAACTCTGCTGCTTGCAGCAGACTCAAAGGTATGTCCTCTGCTCTAGTTAGAGTAAACGTCTTTTTCTTCTGCTGCTCTTTGTCTTCTGTTGCTTTAAACATCGCTTCTTATTGCAACTTTTGAGTAATGGGCAGTAGTTACTTAAGGCTTTTTCACAAGACACCTCAGTTTGGGACTTAGACACATTTTTGCCACCTTGCTATGACTTATGAATGGATTGAGGCGGTAAAGTCTGTCACATTTAACACGTATGTTAACATACTGTGGCTGCTCTACTCCTCCTTTTGGTTCTGTTCTGTGATGCATGCTTCATTTCTGAAAACTCACATCTGTGCGGGACGTGGCTGGCTCCATCTGTTGATTTATGAATGGCCAGAGGAAGCACAAGACGTACTTGTCTGTGTGCCAGTTTTGGGGAAATGTTTTATGAAATACCCTTAGTTTTTCTGACTTATGTGATTAAAATTATTCAAGAACATCTCACTTGTTGACAGATGGATTCGGGACACGGAGACCTGGGGACGCTAGCCAGTGTAGTGACGTCATTAGCCAACCTGAGCGACTCTCTGAAAGAAAACCTGAACAACGGTGATACCTCAGACAGCCAACAGGAAGAGCAGTCTGCCAGTGAGATAACACGGTCAGTTTGTTCAGCTCAAAGTGAAGACCAGATGAAGTCTCGTCCTTGTTTGATTAGGTTTAAGCTCATGCATTATTAGCTTCTGCAATATATGGATTCAATATTAAAAAACAAGTTAAAAACAGTCAACTTTTTATGACTTCATTTAAAACAATATGCAACATTTGACCAAAAGTATTCTCAACATTTTAAAGAGCGTTATATTCTTGTTTTTTCTTGCTAACTAAGCTGCGATCTGAGCCCTTCGACCAGTATTTAACACTGGGTTAAAATCTACCAGTAATTTCTGATGTCGTTGATCCAGTCTTTACCAGGTGGTCAGCACTTGCTGACTCAGCCCAACAACAAGCAAGCATCAGTTTACCATGAATGATCAAGCAGACAAGCAGGCTTTTTGAACTTGAACAACTACCTGTGTGAGATGAGCCTCACTACTCAATTTAAGCTCCATCCAAACTGCTAAATCAGCTCTCATTGTCGCAATTGTGAGATGAAAATTGTGTCACTTTGTTCACAGCTTTGAGTCTTCCACCCTTTCTTTTGCACAACCCGCTGTGAGAACTTTTCACCCCTCTCCACACAAGAACTAAACTGTGTGATTGGTCAGAAGTTTGTGGGCGTGTTTGTTTTTGCTAGAAGCATTTTTCTTCAACTACTCGCTCCCAGAAGACGACTGTTTTACCCGGAACAAGATATTTATAAATATAGTCAAATGGAAATAAAACAGATGTGCAGAGAGAAACCTCTCTGCCAAAACTCCTTTAACTGGGACAGATTTGTTGAAAAAAGTTTCAACATTTGAACCCCCTAGACCTCTTAACATTTCTTTTCACATTTTTGTTTTTATTTATTTGACTTATGAACTGTGTGTCAATTATGTCACTTTATCAACCTCAAAGAAGCTTAGAAATATAGGAAAAAAGAAGATGAAAACTTGATCTTTAAGAAATTCTGATGTACTTGCTGTTCCTCTCATGTTTGATATTCTTTGTGCATCACACAAGAGGGAAAGTTTTGTGTTTACAAAAAGATCTCTTTGTGTGTATTCCATACAGTGCCTTTGACACTCTGGCCAAAGTCTTTAACCCATCTGAAGAAAATCTGTCTGAGAAGTCGCAGTGTGTCAGCGAAACAACCATCCAGCTAATTGGTCAGGACCAGGAGACACCGATCATTGAGGTGGAGGGGCCACTGCTCACAGACAGCCATGTCAGTTTTAAGGTGGGTGGAGTTCTGATTAAAGGAAAGACTAGCCATGAACACAGCATTACAAAACACTTCTTTATTAAAACAGGTATTCAAGTCCGCTTCTCATCTACTGTTATCCAAGCAGGGTGCCCTGCCACCCCAATGGAACCGACCGCACCCCCCATGAAGATTATGGCTTATATAGGATTAATAAACATCTGTACTTGTTCACATGTACCAGTTATTGGGGATTTTTGTAATAAATGTTAAAGCGTCCCAGTTTCATCATTAGCAAAGACACATCTGACTTGTGCACATAAAGCAGGCTACCAAAGAGAGAGTGCGTGCCACAGGATCATCTGCTTCAGGAGCACACACAGTTTGTTTTAGTGTTCCTCCTAGTGTTACTCACTGTTTTTGCTTCTTTATGGGCCAATATTATGTGTTTCTCAGGCATATATTTAAACACTATACCATAATAAAGTATCTGTGTCACCTTTAGCTGTTTTTAAAATGCTGTTATGTTTAAATAGAAAATAAACTTATCTTCTCATCACTTAGTGATGGGACTCCAAGACAATGGTCTGTGTGATGCCTGCGGCATTGAATCAAAGACCTCTTTGCACTATTTAGGCCGATGCTTGGCTCTGAGTAGTCCAAGGGAAAGAATTCTTGGAGACCCCTTTGTGGATCCCGAGAAGCTTAGAACACTGAGGGTTTCTAACCTGGTGTCCTTTATCCGAGGGACAAAAAGGTTTGATTAAAGCCCAGTATCTTTTGGGGAGAGCAATGGGCCCACTTATGAGGCCCCAGCTCACCTGGGTTGTACCCATCCCCAATTACCATTACCATTCTCATCACTTCCTCTTGTAAACGCCTTGAAATTGGCCTCTGTCTCTTTAAGAACCTCCTTCTGCTTCTGTTCAGTCCCGTTCGGTGTGGGGTTCACATGTGGGGGACTCGTGCGCTATGAAGCAGTTTACTTGGCGTCTGAAAATACATTTCCTCAAAGGTATTTTTTAATCTGAAAAGAGCTTCACTGAATGAGAGGTAGCGTTGAGATTCACTTTCACCCGAGAGCCTGCAGGAGTCATGGGTGGGGTGTGTGTGTGGGGTTGGGGGGGTGCGCTCTGCCATGAGGAAGCTCGGCTTAAAGACACGTCCCAGGGGCGTTTCTGGTCCCAAAAGGCGTTTCTGGTCCCCACCTGT